TCTCCCTAGCCTTATTCCTGCCTTTTCATACATTTAACAAGAATGTGTGCTTAATATTTTACATTATTTGATTTCATTTTATGTGAATGGGTGTTATGCCTTCATATACATCCTTATACCACTTGCACTTCTGATATCCATGGAGTGCAGGAAGAATGTTGGAATCCCTGGAAATGGAGTTACAGATTGTTATGAGCTACCATGTACCTCCTGAAAATAGAACCTGGGTTCACTGGAAAATGAGGCAATGCTCTTAACCACTGAAAAATCTTTGTAGCCCCTGGTCTGTCTATATTGGGCAATTTATAATAATAATAATAATAATAATAATAATAATAATAATAATAATTAATAATAATAATAGGTGTTGTTGAAAGGTTTATAATTCTTTTGTGGATTTTGATTGGTGTTTTTCTACTCCTCTCTTGCTTAACTTTCACTCATGTGTAGTTTATTCTTGCCTGTGACCTAATGGATGTGAATACATTTTTCTTTAATGTGAAGGGTGCCTTCCAGAATCTTATGTAATTGTAGCTTAGTGGGTATGAACTCATTTTTATGGAATGATTTCTTTTCTTTCTCTATTATGACAGAAAATCATTGTTTGGTATAATAATCTAGTTTCCTAATGTCTTTCCAAAGTTGAAATACACAATCCCAAACTTTTCTGGATTAAAATTTTCCCTTGAGAATTTTACTCTTCTCCGGAGTGTTAGTGCATACCTTTATTCCCAGCACTTGGGAGGCAGAAGCAAACTCTGTAAGTTTAAGGCTAGATGGGCCCACATAGTGATTTCCAGGCAAGTGATGGGTATATAATGACATTTGTCTCAAAACAAAAGGAGAAATAGAGGGGCAGTGGAAGGATGGCTCAGAAGATAAGAGTACTTACTGCTTTTTCAGAAGACCCTGGTTTGCTTCCCAGTACCCATAGGGGCATAAGCCCAGTCCATCTCTCTACACATTGGAATGTTCTAATTTTGCCATCTTGTCTTCAAGCTCAAAATCTGCCCTGATACAATTTTTGGCAAGGCTTTCCACAAAGCCCTTTATTACACTGAATGTGTTCCCTCCAACCATTTCAGTATGGTCTACACTGAATTCCTGTTTCATGTTTTTTTAAATTCCCTTGATTTTTCTTCATTTGACAGTTTCTTTGTGTCATCATGTGATTTATTGGGGAGTTAATTTTCTTCTCTAATTTTGTTGGCAATAAATATAATCATTCATATGAGAACTTTGGTATTTCATCCAATCCATTCTGATTGGAGGTCATTTTTGGGGAATGGATAATTCTGGGAGAAATGCCTCAGAGAGTTACTCTTCTGACTCCTGATATTAAGCAAGTTTTCCCCTAGTAGAATTCAGATTTATAAGCACTCTCTACATTTCTTGGCTTTATGGCCTCTTCATTTGCAAAAATTTCTTCCAATGTATCTGTTTTCATATCTTTAAAGTAAGAATGAAAATATTAACAAGCACTACTTATCCCTCAGATGTGAAGTATAGAACTCTTTTATTTGACTTTCAGTTTATAAAAAATATGTTATTATTATTTTAAAAATTGTGCTTATGTTCCATATGTATGTGCATGAACATGTATGCAGGTGCCCACAGAAACCAGAGGTGATGAATCTCCCTTAAACTAGAATTGCAGGTAGTTCTAAGCCATCTAATATGTATATTAGGAACCAAACGCCATGTCATTTACAAGAGCAGAACTCTCTCTTAACCAATGAGCATCTGACTAGCCCCTGTACTTTCTTCTTTTTTGTTTAATGTTCATACATACTATATAAAGTGTTTTCATCAAAACTGCACCACATTCCCTGATCTCCAGTTCTTCTACTATACCCTCCATAACTCTTCCCTTCTCATATCATGTGTTTTGTTGTTGTTTAATATCCACTGATTCCATATAGGCCTGACTGTGTGCCCATGGGTATGAGATCATGTATTGGCACATAGGTAGTGGTTTAGAACTCTACATTTTTGTATTACCACAAACTTATAAGGCTCAAAGATCATCAAAGAAGAAGGACTATAGAGCCAGAGAGTGCAGTCATCTGCAGAGAAACAGACATGATAGTGTAGATGTAACAGTCTTATTAAATAAGAAACATGGAGCCAGATGCAGAGTTAAAAGCCCAAGATTTCAGAGCAGTAGGTAAAAGCTGATACTAAAAACTCTTCGTACCCTTCGCTGCTTCTGCTGTCCTTCCCCTCTGCTCATGCCGTCCTTCCCATGAACCCATGGGAGATAGAAGAATTCAAGAGATAAATGTTTGTAGTCTTGTATCTGCATATTTTTTATTATCATCCTTTCTTTAGAATGACAGCTGTTGAATATTGATGTACTTGAGCAACAAAGAGAATTTCAACCTGCTTTCATGTTACCTTTATATGTGAGGGTCTGTTATGATCTCCTATGATCTATGGCTATTGGGGAGCAGATATTAATCACTGAGCTTCAGTTTCTCTGTCTATATGCCAAAGACAGTCATATAACCAGATTAAGAAGTTAAAGTCAATAAAA